GGACAGAGCAAGGTCAGTAGTTCCAGCTGCAAAGACCTCTTCATTTGTAGCTGAATCACAGGTACGGTAAGCTGTCTGCTGCCTTTTTCCTCCTCAACCAAAAGGCCTCTTCTAGGGAATATGGCAAGTATTCCCATAAGTCATTACTTGCCATAAATCATTACTCAGGCTGGAGCAATTGATGAGTGAGTATTTTTAGGTCCTGAACAATTTTTAGTTAATATTTCAAAGATCTTACTAGTAGAAAAGCTAGTTGAAATTATTTCCTGCTTCTTCTGTTTTGTAAGTTACCATCCATTTTGTAATGTGTAGGAGTGCCTCAATTTTAAACAGGTTGCAGTTTCAGTCAAGTTCTCATTTCTACTGGTGAATAGAAAACTTTTTCTTGTATTTTTATGACATAATAAATACATACTTAAAATAAATACTGGCTTTCCAGCTCAGGAAACTAAGCAATGCTATACCTGTTTAAAATATATAGGGGTAACAGAGAAGGGGAGAGACTATTTTCCTTGAAGCCCTGCTCTTTAACAATCCCATTAATAAGCATAGTCCTCTATTTCCAGAGTCAGGGTTAGACTATGCTCTCAAGAGAGGGTTAAAGGCCGAGGCAGGGAAATCATTTAAGAAGGAGCAAGAAAGTGGTTCTAAATGGAGATAATTCTAAGAGAGGGCTATGAGGAGACTTAGCTTCACGTAGCTCATTTGATTATTTCTATCACTTTTCATCTCATCACTCTACTGACATTTCTTTTAACTTACTTTTCCTTATATATGTATTCATCTTTTCCTTCCTTCCTTCCCTCCTTCTTTCAAACAAACAAGCAAACAAACAATGTAGCATAAGGAAAAGAAACCACATTTTCTAGATAGGCAGATCTAGGAATCCTGACACTGGCACTCAAGAGCTGTGTTACTGTGAGAAAAGTACTCAACCACTCTGAACCTCCACTCTTCATCTGTGAGATAGGAATAGGAATGGGGATAAGATCATTGTGAGGGTCAGATGTGATAGCATAGTGTCTGCCTCATGGACAGTACTTAAGAAATGGCAGGAATTGATATTGGTCCAATGTTTGTACACATTGCCTTTCTATAATTTTCTTTTGTTTTTCTCAGTTCTTCCTTGCCTCTTCCTTGGTTTTGTTGTTGTTATGGGTTTTTATTTTTTACATTTCTTTTCCTGCGTATCTCTGGTCCCCTCTTGTATTAAAAAACAATATCTAAGTAGCAATTTCTAAGAAGCAAATTTTATCTTATTTCTAATAAACATCTGTTAATTTCTCTTCACAGTGGATTGCTTGCTGAACAATACCCCAAACTGCTGTTTGACCTGATGCCCATCATATGGATAAGGCCAAGTAAATATACATCTAACAAAATTTCTTAGAGTTTTAGGGAGGATAATGATAGATATTTTTAACTGCTCCCCTAAATAAGTCTCTGCTCAAACCCATTAGGATTTTGTTCAATTACAATAAATAGTGGCAATGTTTATATTGGAAATACATTGTTCCCTCTTTTTTGTGTTGCATTTACATTATTTTAGGAGTATCATTCTGCCTCTTTTTGCTCTTATCCCATGGGATGTAACATTTTCTTTGCCCCTCCCCCACACTTCTACTTTTTCAGTCTAGAGCGTCCCATCAATATTTTGATTCTGAAGTGCCCTTGCACCCCTCTCAGACAAAATAGGCTTGACCCAGTCTCCAGCTGGCGACTAGAGTTTTCTGGCTATAAGAAACTCCTAGGAGCTAGCAAGGTGCCCCAAGGCATAGGTATTGCAAGCCACATGGGGTAGAGGTCAATTTTGCCCCCTGGGAGAGCTACTTGCTCCTTCCCTCCTGCTATCATCATTTTTCCACAAGTCTGAACAACTGGGGCTCATTCTTTTCTTTTCTATTTCTTCTCTAATTTTTTTATTATCAAATAACTATAAATGAAAACATTTACAAATCACCCACAATCACCACCTAACCCATTAAGTATTTTCATTATTAATGCAGTTCAATTATAACTATGAGAAATGTGGCCTTAGTTTAGAAAGACTCCTAATATCTCATATCTGGCTCTTCAAAGATTGTATGTAGGGTGAGATTCTTTTTGTGAGTTGGTAGGAGTTGGTATGTTTTTCTTAGTAATAACCTGCTGAAAACAAATAGTAACTTCAGCTTCTTCTAATTTATGGGTTTCTTGTAGTAGAGCTCTAAGCAGCTGTGTTTCTCTTTTTGTGTCTCTGCCATTACCTATGCTGTATTTTATTCCTTCTTTCCTACATTCTCCTTCTCTTTCTTCTTCTCTCCCAAGTCAGCTTGAGTGTTTTCATGCCTGCTAAGCGATCAGGACTTTAAAATCAATTCCTGTCCTCTAGACATAAAATCATGCACCATATGAAATCACTTGCTTGTTTCACAACCACAATTATATACCAACTGTAAAAAATCACAACTTTAAAATGTTCAAATATCATAATCATGATCTTAGATTTAGTACTGGCCATTTTATCACGAGAGAAATAGTTGTTCTTTTAGTATTAGTGGCTCTTTTTCCTTCATCAAATAAATATGTTTTGTCTTTTTTTTTTTTCAAGCTAAAAAGTCTCAAATTGTGAAGTCGAATGCCTATGTCTGTCCCCTTTACAAGACAAGTGAACGTAAAGGAACTCTTTCCACTACAGGACATTCTACTAACTTTGTCATTGCAATGTTGTTAAAAACAGACCAACCCACTCAACACTGGATCAAGCGTGGGGTTGCTTTACTTTGTCAATTGGATGACTAAGATGGACAAATTAAGAAAACATGTGAAAGAAATAAAAAAATATATATTGTTTTCACTTACTTCAGAATATACATATATTATAAAACCAAATATTTTGGTGTCATTCTTTTAAATGGTCTTTGTGCATGGTCTTTGCATTGTTCTCCTGTCTGACTTACCACTCCTGATTGGAAACAGCCTCTGGATGGACTCCTGAGAATACAGTCAGACACCTGTGGAAGGAAAACATGAAAAGAAATATTTCTTTGAAGCATATGAAAAATCTTTGAAATTTTTATTTAGTTCCTTTTTTTTGGCTTGATATGTATATGAAAAGCAGATTTGGGGAGACTAATTGGATAAAATTTAATATCAGAAATTATCTCTTTTCACAAGTGTTGTTAAGTCATTTCTTTAGCTTCAGTAATAGTTTACTTTCCACTCACCTACCTGAAGTGATTATACACGAACATTTCAAATACATAAATAAATAAATTGTAAATAAGGAAAATATTAAAACAGTTCCAGAACTAAACCTCTCACTTCACACTTTTAAAACATTAGTTCTATTCCTCACAGTACCCTTGTGACAAGGAAAGGAAACTCAGAGCAGTGAAGCTGACACACAAAAGCAGTTAAGATGGCCGGAGGGCAATCATACATACCTGAGGAGGTGTGTGCTTCTTGGCATTTGCTTCCTTTTTTAATTGGAAATGCCAAGTGGTGTCCTCATTATTTTTAATAGTTAATATTCTTATTTAGTATGCACTTATAATATTAATATACATTAACAATTTCAAAACATTTCAACAAAACAAAATTATAGCCAAAATTTTATTATCTTGTGTGGAGTTAATTCCTTTCTTAGGATTCCCAGGACACTTTAGGCTGCAGCTCTGTAACCCAAAGAAAATGTAGGTGCAGCTACCCAATGAATGAGGACCGTTGGGACAGTCACTTTTGATAATTTGGTCCGAGCAAAACGTTTGGCCTCTCTTAAGTGGAAAATTGATTCTGGTTTGCAGTGGCTATGTGCATAAGTCTTAAGAGAGTGCATTCACTTCACATGGCCAACCCCCTGCAAAAGCATTTTATTCCAGGAATAAAATGTTTAATCCTTTAAATTCAATGAATATAGCAGTGAAGAAAAGAGATCATGTTTCCAAACAGCTAAACCACATGTAAAAAACAAGGAGAATGTGCCAGACTGTCTTATGATCAAGTATTTATAGTAAAGCTATTAATGGAATGGTAACTACAGGGGAGTGGAGATGCTAAATATAAATGAAAATTCTGACCTGCTAATCTTTAGCAGTGAAAACTTCAGTGCTGTCCTAAAGGATATAACAAAAGGTAAAAAGTCTTTGGTATGTGATCAAACCTATTCTATGCTAAAACTGAAATGTTCTTTTAAAATCATTGAGATATTGCCTAATAAAATACATTGGTTTTTACTATCACTATTCTTGTTATATGTTGTAGTATGATAGTACATTTATTCCCATAACATGTTTATTTTTTGTGTTTACTAACTAAATAAAATATTATTTTCAGCATGATACTCACTATGTGTAGGAAAGATGTTCTTTTGGATGAGTGCTACAATCACGGAGGAAAACTCATAAGCCAAGTCTAAAATAAATGAATATGAGCATTTTCCTAGTTACAATGGCACTGACCTAAGTTTTATATGAAAGATAATTTTTCCTAAATAAGCTTTAAGTAAATGGCTGCTCATGGAAACTTCTAATTTATGTTGAATCTGTGGCAGTTCAGAAAACTGTTTTAAGTTTATGGAAATTTTTTTTTCTTTGTGAGGAAGATCAGCTCTGTGCTAACATCTGCCAGTCCTCCTCTTTCTTTTTTTTTTTTTTTTTTTGCTGAGGAAGACAGGCACTGGGCTAACTCATCCGTGCCCATCTTCCTCCACTTTATATGGGACGCCGCCACAGCATGGCTTGCCAAGCAGTGCGTTGCTGCACGCCCGGGATCCAAACCGGTGAACCCCGGGCCACTGCAGTGGAGCGCGCGCACTTAACCACTTGCGCCACCAGGCTGGCCCAAGGAAAATTTTTTAAATGAATATTTTGTTTTATAAATTTTGTATTTTCTTCATTTATCTATCCTATAAATTTTGTATTTTTCTGAATTTCATTGGTAATTTTAAGCAGTCGATAATCTGTTTTCACAGCTGGAAAAATATTTTTAATTCATTCTGAATTTAAAGTAAATCGGTCTGTGTTTCACATGGATAATTACACCAGTGATGAAGAGGTAGAGGATGACTTTGATACCCAGCTCATCATTCAACAGAGTTTACAGGATAGTCACAAGCCAGGAAATACACAGCAGGCACTCGAGGATGAGAGGTAATGGGCTCATTGGCAATGTGGTATATGTATGCGACAGTTGAGACTTGTCATTAGCACAACTCTAGTGTCGCGACAAAAACAGGAGAGAGGGTCAGAATCCAAGGAGCTGTCATTTAAATATCATTAAATGATGCCTGACCAGAAAGGAAAAATTTGGAAATAATCCAGAATTTAATTAGGCAGTAAAGAAAATAGTTGAGGGAGGTTAGCAGCAAACCTGGGTGAGGAGATGCAGACTGCAAATCAGAAAGAAGAAATACATGAGGATATGAAGGGCTACAGAACTCAAATGCATCTTGTGTTTGAGGAGATAAGGAAATGCATAAATCCAACCAAGACACATAGAAAGTTATCTTCAACCTCAGTGGGGTGGATGGGGTAGGGTCCAGTATTTAATCTACTCAAATCAAAAGGAGGAATTATGTAAACTTAAACCCAAAAGAGACTAACCCCTTCTGAAGGGTGTGGATTCAGAGTTCTGTTATGACAACACTAGAAAAGGACTCCATGGGTGTCTCCGTGATGTAAGGGAATTGCCATGGACATGGGCTGTCTGCAGCCAAGCACACCTAGTCAAATGCTCTCTGGCTGATCAGCATCCTCAGCCCTCTGAGTAGTTACTATTGTTTTTCAGGGGCGATAAACCCTGTTTGCTGCGGATGGTGACCTCTATTTGTCTGCTGGGAGGTAAAACTGGATAAATGTGTTTTAACCCCAAGAGATTTTATGATTAAATACTGAGAAGTTGAAGTACATCAAAACTATAGTATTTTTTTTTTAAGTAACAAACTCATGGAATGATCACTGTATGCCACATTATTTTAAGTATTTCAGAATCATTAACTCATTTAAATTCTAATTCTAATTACCTCTTTATGTGATAAGTACTGTTATTATCCCCATTTAGAGGTGAGGAGACTGAGACACAGAGAAGTTGAGTGACTTATGCAAGGTCACAGAGCTAGTAAGTGAAGAGCCAGGCAACCTGGCTTCAGGGTCTGTGCTCTTTACCATACTAGTCCTACACTTTTGTGTTAAATTTAGGAATAATCTTTAAAATAATCTTTAAATAGTTAAAGTTTTGTAAAGAAATTGGGTTCATTAGATTATCTGTTATATTAACTTTGTGATTAAAATTTTAAAAGTTCATTGTGTAATTGACTTTGAAGTCATGATTTTAGGTTGAAAGGCGTAAGAGATTTTGATTAAGAGTATTGAAATGTTTCAGAGATATTAAAATTGACTAAATTTATAAATTTCATTTGTTAGACTTGCAAGAATTTTATGATACTTAGGAAGGCTTGCTGGCACTTGAAGGAATTAGGAAACTAGAATATACTTGAGACAGGCAGAATAATGCCACCCTCCACCCCCACCCCGGTACAACAAAAAAAAGTCCACTTCCTAATCTCCAGAACCTGTGAATATGTAACCTTACATGGCAATGAAGTAATTAAGGCTTCAGATGGAATTAAGGTGCTAATCAGTTGACTTTAAGATAGGGAGAGTAGCCTGGATTATCCAGGTGGGCCCAGTGTAATCACAAGCGTCCTTAAAAGTGGAAGAAGGAGGCAGAGGAGAAAGAACCCGAGAGAAGGCAGGGTAGTGGCCCGACATTGCTGGCTTTGAAGATGGAGGAAAGGGTCCATGAACCTAGACATGTGGGAGGCCCCTAGAAGCTGGAAAAAGCAAAGAAGCGGATTCTCCCTTAGAGCCTCCAGAAGGTAACCCTACCAACATCTTGATTTTAGTCCAGTGAGCTCATTTCATACTTCTAAACTGCACAACTGTAATAAATTTGTGTTATTTTAAGCCACTAAGTGTGTGGTAATTTCTTACAGCAGCCTCAGGAAACTAATACAATACTAAATCTCTAAGTACAGTTTTAAATGTTTAAGAGAATTGACCAAATTGTAAGTAGGACAGATTGTCTAAGGGAATTTATTCTCTTCAAGCTGGCTTCACTGAATAATCAAAGATAATGGAAAGGTGACAATCCTTATTTACCATATTTAAAAATAATATGATTCATAAGTTGAGCTTTAAAACTTTATTTTTAAATGTTTTAATAAAAATATTACTTAAAAAAACTGCTAATGGTGTTTTCTGAGCATAAATTCTGACCAAGAATATTTTTTAAACTCACACCATGATTATTTACTATTTTTAATCATAATTTTTGCTAGACTCATTGACATTATGGAGTGGCCATTAAATTTTACCATATGATAATGTGACATTTCAGTCCTATGCAAGTTTGATCCAATTCACCAAACATTGATTGAGGGCTCACTGTGATCCAGGCTCTCACGCAGTCCTTGCCGTAAAGAAGCCAACTGTCTAACAAGGGAAACAGACATGGGAGAGAAGATTCCCCAGAACGCATTAAGGGCCACACTATTGGAAGTATTTCTGGTAAACCTCAGTCACTGCCTCATATTAGAGTTCATCTTATACGAATTACTTAACTACTACTCCCTTTACCCTTCCTTTTGTTTTATATCAGACGCCTTAGTTTTTCCCTCAGTTTTGGAATTACATATATTTTTTTTTTCCTATGCAGCTTCCATTCCTTTGTGAGCACTGCCTGGAAGAAGATAGTTGAAACAATAGAGACAGTTAAGTACTCTTCTTATTCTATCCCCTTCAACTTGTGGTAAGATGTGATGGTTACAACTGGTAGCATTTTTCCCTCTAAGTTCAGGAAGCCTAGAAGCACGTTCTCCTAAATGCTGAACAGTATGGGGTCCACAGCTGATTTTTCAAGAGTCTGGTTGCCTTTCCTGGGAGAAAATGCTTCAGCACAACTTGGCAAAGAGCTCCCGGGCTCCTCCATGGACAGAACTTTTTTTCTGTATGTGACAAGATGGTGGGTATTCACAGGCCTAGATGGTGCGCAGCGCTAGATGAAAGGCCTTGCTGCTCATTTGTCCTCTACCCTTTAAATTTGTCTTTCATAAACAGTGGTGCTGGGGCCGGCCCCGTGGCTTAGCGGTTAAGTGTGCGCGCTCCGCTGCTGGCGGCCCGGGTTCGGATCCCGGGCGTGCACCGACGCACCGCTTCTCCGGCCATGCTGAGGCCGCGTCCCACATACAGCAACTAGAAGGATGTGCAGCTATGACGTACAACTATCTACTGGGGCTTTGGGGGGGAAAAAGTGGTGCTATAATTCTGTTGTCTCATATACCAACCTTGATGGTGGAATTCAGCAGCAGTATGGGCTGCCTTGTTTGTGTGCCAAATGTGAATCTGTTCTCATTTGATTTGTTAATAGGTAAGGAAGATGCATTGTCACACTTGACCAAGTACTATTCTGCTTTTGATGAAGCAGATGGGATAGGCTGGCTTCCTCTGCATAAGGCTGCAGTGCAATTAAATAAGAACATTTTGGAAATAACCCTGAAAGGTAAACTCCCTTTATAACTCATTTTTGATGCCTCTGATAAATAAATTTAAAATTTATTTCTATATCTTAATGGTCTAATGGATTTATTTCAGCTTCAAAACCCAGTGCGTGGGAGCAAACCACCCACAATGGTGAAACGCCACTTTTTTTGGCTGTCAGCAATTGCCTCTTAGAAAATGCCCGTATTCTTCTTCTCAATGGCTGCAATCCAGATGCTAAGAATTTTGAAGGCAATTCTCCTCTTCTTACAGGTAAATTAACATCTTGTCTCTGGAGAAGAGTCTGTGGCTCTGAGTCTCCTACATGCCCACATGTTTCAAAGGCAGCTTTTTGTGCATAGTTGTAGCACTGCCACTCTGGTCCCAAGTGACCAGACTGGGTACTTGACCCTCAAGAGGCTTTCTAGAGCTCGCCTGTGAGGTGGCCTGATGCAGAATCTCTGCCCAATTAGGAGCTGATCATTTTGCATGGTGTCTTAATTGAACCAGAATTAACTGTGTTTCCTGAATTTGAAAGGGCACACTAAGTGCCAGCTCAACGAATTAAAAAAGACCCAACACCCTTGGCACTCTATATTTCCAATCTTAGAGCAATTAGAGCACTTTCTATGGCACATTATAAATGGTTATGAGCAGAATTCATATTGATTCAGGGTCTGGCACCAAGCAAAATTCCTCACACACAGTCTGTGCCAATAATTAGCAAATGGCTAGGGAGATAGATAAATTAAGGTGTTTTAGGATCTTGAAGGATTAAAGATCATCATCCAAATGTGACTCAACAGCATAAATACAGAAAAGCCAATTATTAGAGAGTTTTGATTAACAAATGTGATTAACAAAATTATTAAAAATAATTTCCTAATAAATAATTTCTAATAGTTTAAAAATAAATTCCTAATTAAATTCCTAATGCTGGTTTTTTTGGTTTGTTTTTGTAGTGAGGAAGATTAGCCCGGAGCTAACATCTGTTGCCAATCCTCCTCCTCTTGCTGAGGAAGATTGGCCCTGAGCTAACATCTGTGCCCATCTTCCTCCATTTTACATGTGGGATGCCTGCCGCAGCATGGCTTGATAAGTGGTGCATAGGTCCGCACCCAGGATCCAAACCCATGAGCCCCGGGCCACCGAAGCGGAGCTTGTGAACTTGGCCCCCCTAATGCTATGTTTGTTTTCTTCATTTAAAGCAGCTACAAGTGTTTCTAGGTCTGTGCTAGGTACTTAAATTCCCATTTTCTTGGGAAAATAAAGATGGTAAATGAAAATTTTATATGTTTGTTTTTCAGTTACATAAGCAACCAATAGATAATGAATAATTGGTCATGGCTTATAGAAAAGCAAATAGCCTATTGACGTGAAACACTATTATTTGATATATGCCTCATTTTACAATCTGTTTCCTAAATACAAAATGCTGGCACGTGGGTGTAGGTAGGAAGAGCTCCTTAGGAAGACTGAGGGACACTAGCTGATATGATACTCTAGCCTCAATTTCCTGTTGAACATAATGCCCACCTCACTTGTATTTTCCCAGCTGTTCTACATGACTCCTACGACATGGCCTCCTTGCTGATTAGTTATGGGGCAGATGTCAATCTACGGTGTGCCAACGAGAGGACAGCTCTCCATGAGGCAGCCAAACTGGGCAGACAGGACATGGTGAAGCTTATGCTGCTTTCTGGGGCACACCCTGACCCACAGAGCTCCTATGGATTCACTCCTCTTGCTCTTGCTGCCCAGAGTGGACACACCGAAATCATGGAAATATTACTGCAGAAAGGCAAGGTTTTCTATACAGTCAGTACGCTACCAAAGGGTAACGTGACCCAAGCATTCTCCTCTTCATGGAGAGCTTCTAAATAATAGAAGTTAACATTTTATTTAAGCCTAATATAAATCTTTGATAAAAGTATGTGTTAATATTGACTACTGAAAAGCCTAAAATAGTCAGTGATTTAATTTATTTGGTGTGAAATAATTCTCCTAAAATTACTAGGATGCAGGTTCCTCTTTTACTTAATGTTCCCTGACCATGCTAAGAGGGTGGTTGGTTTTTTTTTAATACTTTTTTTGGTGGTGTTGTCCTTTTCTAGACTCATAGAATCAAAGACCCTGCAACATCCCCTACTTGTCTTTGCTTAAGCTAGGTCATGGTCATGAGGCAGTCCAATGTGTTATCAGATGACTTTAGTTGTTAAGAAATTCTTCCTAATTTCTTCTCTTTGGGTCCCAGTTCTCCCCTCTAGTAATAACCAAAACTCTGAGAGAAGGGGAAGGCAACTTATATTTGAGTACTTTCTAAGCACCAGCCATTGAGCTACCTATGTTGCCTCATAATCTTCTACAAACTCTGTGAGGTAGGCATTGTCCTCATTTTGCACTTGAGGAAAGTGAGGGTCAGAGATGGTACCAGTTGCAACACTTCCCTTCAAACACGCCCTCACCTGCCACCAATGCTGTAGCTGTGGCCATTTTAGATCCTGGTTTAACTGGCAGAGACCTTGGCTCGGCGTACTTTGGCATTTATTGTCTTTGAGGAGACCTCCACTGATGACACTGCTAGATGAAGCAATGTAGTATCTAAAGCTTTTTTCAAAGAAGCAAACTTGACCAAGATTTAGTAAAGTCCCAATATTAGAATTATCTTCTTTATTATCCTCCCTTTTTGTGTCCAGAAGCCGTATTTTCTTTCTTTAAGAAGATATAGTCCTGATCGCCAATATTCCATATTGCAAAGACTTGGAACAAACTTAAGTCTATATCGTATAGGGAAGGCTAGTTTCCAATCAATGGCCATAAGATATTTTAAGTAAGATGTTTAAATGAGTGATATCAGAGATGTCTAAAGTCATTAGCTGGAATAACAAAACACTGGATCCTTCATCTTTGAGGAAAAAGTAACCTTATGTGTAGATGATTGATTAAAATATAAATAAAGAGGCGAGGCAATAGATTTTAAATCCTTAACCCTTCAAAGAAACCAGCGTCGTTGACCTCAGTGAGGCCAGCGCGTGAGCATTTCCCTTAGGTAACCCCCTTACAAAGTAATTTGCATGAAGTGACATAGCTAGTAAGTGGCAGAGCCAGGATTTGAACCCACATCTGTCTGATTCCAAAGCACATTACTTTACAAGTCTGCATTGCTAGAGGCAACATGGCATCGTAGAAATAGGCCCTGGGTCTGACCCACCTGCCCAAGAATCCTGACCACCTTGCTTACTAGCTGTCCGTCTCTGGGGAAGGCACTTAACCTCAAGGATCCTCAGTCTCTTCATCTTTAAAATGAAGATGTTATCATCTACTTCTTAGGGTTGTTGTGAAGTTTAGAAATTATTATGCACATAAAGGAACGAGCACACAGCGAGCACTCATGACATGGAGGCTTGTTAGACATTTCTTAACGCATTCTAGGAATAGGGTTCTTGGGCAGCCACTCTACTCTGATGACTGTGGAGTCTGTACTAAATTAAAAGTCACATCTTTTTTATATGAGCTGTGAATGTGCCCAGAATGCCCTCCTTTCCTTTTGTTTATTCAAATGCTACTCTTTCTTCAAAGCCCATTTTACTGAGAGGCCTTCCACAACTGACCCAAAACTCCTTTCTCCTTGCTTCACTTCCCAGCTACCCTCACCGCCCTGGCCCTGAGATCTTCTGGAGGACATTTTGCCTATACCTGTACTCTTACTATCCACACCACTCATGATACTTAATGTACAGTGTACTATAATTTATCCTTTTAACTATCAGCAGTCCGCAGCTTCAACTAAAAACAACTACAGTTGTCTCTTACTATGAACAGCCCCCTAAGAACAAGTTAGAACAAATGCCCTTTTCCACCATAGCATCATCATTAGATGACATGGTGAGATAGTTCATCCTATATATAAGTGTGTTACAAGTTAAGTGTGATTTTGTAGGCTGGTCTGGGAAATAAAACCACCTTTTGTAAAATTATTTCTCCTGGAATTTTCAAGTTCCAAACAAATAACTTATAAAATTACTCTGCAAGCCAACCTACTTATAACTTAGAGACTGCACCATTGTTTTCCTTCCCAACTAGATTAGAAACTGCCTGAGAGCAGGAGGTACATATTTTATTTCTTTGATTCTTAGTGCTTTGCTAGAGTAGCTGCTCAATAATTGCTTTGTGCTGGTGGTGATGTATTTTTAAGGATGCTTAAGCAATATGGTGGAAAAGACTTTGCATAACAAGACTCTTTCTTCTCTCAGGAGCTAATGCTCTTGGTCAGGCCTCTGATTCTTCTTCTATCTTACTTGAAGCCGCTAGTGGAGGAAATCCAGACTCCGTGACTCTCTTGCTAGAGTATGGAGCTGATGCCAACATCCCTAAGAATTCAGGCCACCTGCCCATTCATGTGGCAGCTGACAGAGGCCACTTGTTGTAAGTTCAATCACATTATTGCAATAGAAATAGTAATAGCTACTTTTTTGGGGGGAGCAGCTTCTGGGAACTTTATATTCTTCATCTTTGATCCTACAACTCCAACACCCCTTTTAAAGATAAGAAATTCTTGACCAGCTAGAGAGTGGTAAAGTTGGGCATTTTCTGTAGCCACTGAAGAAACATAAAACTGTTTTATTATCAGGTCCTTAGACAATATGGGGAGCTTCAGATCTCACTGACTAGGCTAATTCTGAGTTTTATAATCTAGACAGTAGTTTCATTTAGTGTTAGTTGGTATCTGAGCTTTTGGATGCAGGAATTATGCTTTTTTTTTGGCTGAGGGTTCTAAATACCAGCTAGTACTAATACCATCCAGTGCTAGTATAAAACAATCATGAACAGGTTAATGCTGCAGCCTAACAAAAACTATTTTTAAATGCACTTTGAAATTTTTTCTCAGAGCTTTAAAGATTTTGGTTCCAGTTACGGATTTTGCTGCCATTAAGCGGAGTGGCATCAGTCCAGTTCACTGTGCAGCAGCAGGAGCACATCCTGAATGCCTGGAACTTCTCATCCAGGCTGGATTTGACGTAAATTTCATGCTAGATCAGAGACTTCGCAAACACTATGATGACCATAGGAAGTCAGCTTTGTATTTTGCTGTATCAAATGGCGACCTCTCTTCAGTTAAGCTGCTTCTGAGTGCTGGAGCTCTGCCTAATCAAGACCCAGTTAACTGCCTTCAGATAGCCCTAAGGATGGGCAATTATGAGCTGATAAGTCTGCTACTGCGGCATGGGGCCAACGTCAATTACTTCTGTAGAGTCAACCCTTTACATTTCCCATCAGCACTGCAGTACACACTGAAAGATGAAGTCATGCTCAGGATGCTGTTAAATTATGGGTATGACACAGAGCGATGCTTCGATTGTCCTCATGGAGACAAAGTTCATCCTTTCTATACTTTTGAAGGCTGGACATCTACAGTTATCAAAGATACTATGGTAAGTCCACAGTAACGACTGTATCACCTTATATAGTCATTATCAGTGGCCCTGAACTACAGCAATAGGTAAGACTCCATCCATTCACTCCAGAATCTCATGGTTGGAAAGATTTTAATATGATCTATAATAAAATAAACACAATAGTAGAAAGATGTAAATGGTACAGAAACAGTTCAGCGAAAAAAGTGATTTAACTCTACCTAGAGAGTTTCACAAAGCAACATCTGAGCAATGTTTTGAAGAATGAATGCAGTCTTATACACCAGTTATGCTTTTTCTTGAAAAAATGAGTTATCTAGCTAAAATGCTTCTGGGTTCCTGATACCTCTACCCCTAGGTTTTTGGCTCTTTTAGCTCTAACATTTGGTTAAATGGTTTCCTTTGGTTACTCTTTTGATGAAAAAAGAATCCTAATAAATACCATTGACCATTCCCTCCTTGAGACTTTTTTCCCTTGGCTATCATCAACTACAGTCTCCTATTTTCCCCCTACCTAATCAGTCACTTCTATTTTCCCCAACTTGAGCGCTTCCCCCAACTTTTCAAATAGGTTTCATTTCAAGTGTTACTTCCTCAAAGAGGCCTTTCCCTATCTATCGTATCTAAGGTAGTTCCCTTCTCTAATCATTCTCTTATAATGCTGTTCATTTCTTTTATAGCACTTATCACTTTCTGAAATTATCTTTGTAATATTTTACTGATTATGTCTCCCCCACAAATACATGAATATAAGCTCTTGTTCACCACTTTCCTCAGCTTACAGATCTGTGCTTAGCACACAGTAGATGCACTATAAATACTTCAATTCATATTAAAATCTGAAAATAGAAATGACATGAAGTGGAGAAAGCACTTTGAATCAATTCTGAAAAGTGAAAGGCAAAATTTTAATATTGCATGATTTATTATTTTCAGGTTATGATTAATGTGAGATTTGGCATTTAGCATATATCATCTTGCATTATTTCCTGATTTTTCACATAGTATTACTGGACTTCTTACATGGGCATCTTGTGTAAGAGCATGTAAATTAAAGACAGAAACTATCATATCCCTTAAGTATCAGGGTGGGAGTAGGTTATGAATGATGGAAAACCCCAAATAAAAGTGGCTTTAATAAGATGGCTTACTCCCCTCTCACGTAAACAGAGGCCAAAAGTAAACAGCCTTCTAATTGGACAGCTCCCTGATTCACAGGAGAAACAGCATCCACATTCCAGCCAGCAGGAAGGCAGGCAGGAGGGAGCAGCACACACCTTGCTCTTCTTTAAGGGCATTCTGGGAAGTGCTCACACTTCCACCCACATCTCATTGGTTAGAACTTAGGTGGCCACATCTAGATGCAAGTGAAGCTGGAAAGTTCATCTTTATTCCAGACAGCCACATGGCCAACCAAAGGGGATATTATTATGTCTCTTTCACGCCCTCTTTACATCTTACATAGTTCTGAAGACATAGCAGTAAATATTTTTCCAAATGTTAGACCTAAGAAATAGATTTTCTTGTTCAATACCTTAGTTTATAAAGGAAGAACTTGAGACCTTGGTTCCTGACTCTGAGTTTAGTGCTCTTTTGATTACTGTGCTAAACCACAAATACTTCGTTTTTCATTTACTTTCATAGTTCTGATTTTCTTCCTCAGTTCTGTGAAGTAATAACTTTGTCATGGCTGCAACATCTCTCTGGAAAGGTCGTTCGAGTGATGCTTGATTATGTTGATCAAGTTCAGATCTGTTCAAAGTTGAAAGCTGTGCTCCAAAAACAGGGGCTCTGGTCAGAAATTCATTTTATCTTGAGTGAGTATCTTTCTTGTAGAAGATTCTTAACAAATATACTAATTGTATTCTTATTTGTTTTGTAGAACATTCTTCTCTTCTGCCTAAAGAAACCAAGAAAAATACTATTCCTATCTAAAAAATGTTAGTTTATAACTACAATTAATTTGTACTTACTACCATTTCCTAGTAGATAAAATCTGTTGGGTAACTACATTATATAGGTAGGTAATAATTTTCTCCTGATCCTATGGAACACTGTAGACACAGGAATTAAAAGCTATGAAATGGCAATAAAAACAGAGATGAGAAAAAGCTAAGATCTAAGCTTGTAGAGGATATCAAATGCCCCTTCAAACCAAATTCTTTCACAGTAGCACATAGGTCAAATTAAGAATTTCTTTCATCTCATTTCCCCCTGGGTAGTGATCATTAGTTTTTAGCCTGATCTTGAGGGCAGGATGGGGGGTCAATACATGCAGAGTTAAGAACTTTAGGTCTCACAGGTGAGACCCACAACTGATGCCAGTCTTGGGACTCTAACTTGATGTGGCACTGAAACCACGTCTACAAGAAGGGTTGCAATGAGAAGCTAAAAGCTGTTTCCCTGATAACTTTTCCGTCTTGTCATAGCAAATGAAAATCTTGATGGCTTAAGTATAAAATACATTTGCTAACTAAACCCTAAGATCACTAAGAAATAAAGCAATTCTTTTTTCTTTTGGATAATGTGCCTGTTTCTTTCATTTTAGCAAACCCTCGCTCCCTAAAACATTTGTGCCGCCTAAAGATCCGGAAGTGTATGGGACGTTTACGTTTGCGCTGCCCTGTCTTCATGTCATTTCTTCCGTTACCCAATCGTCTAAAAGCATATGTCCTTTATGAAGAATATGACCTTTATGGACAAGGGATTCTCACAGGAACCGGGTAATCAAGCTATTTTGGATGAAAAGGTATAATTCTGCAACTGTACTTCTTAAAATTTGACTTATATGTGATTCGTTATTTCTCAATCAGTCTACATTCTTTAAAAAGTCGCTCTGAACATAGCCTCTCAATATACAGATGGCTAGCATTCTGAAAGGCAGTTAAAAAAAAAAACCCAAACAGTAAAAATTTCAATTAACTGAAATACAACAGTTCTAACTCTGTATTGATCTTACATTAAAGTATGTGAATCCACATTACTACATGGTCAAAATATTAGCTGCCACTTCTGTTAAAAGATAATTCTTAACAATAATCCTTTTTATACAGAAGTACATATATAAAACGTCTTAGTGATTGCACTGAGTAAATACTGACTCCAGCACATGACCTAGAAGTTAGTTGTCCTTGTGCAAAAGTCCCAAGGCCAGCTTACGTCTGTTCACTTGTAAAGTCCAATACTGAGGTGGGATCATTAAGTTAATTGCAACAGAACCTTCAATTGCAATTTCATCATTAATGGGAAACACGCGTCCCTCCTTTCCACAAAACCCTGGCTAAGGGTTATCATTTATTGATTAACGTGATCACTGGAATAGAAATTTAAAATGTTTTCAAATAAATCATGGCTCATGATTTCTGTATTGAACCTACTAGACCAGTACTGGACACACAGAAGGGGCTCGCTGATTGAAGCAGTTATAGGATGGTAGTTTAAATTTTTATTTCTATATATTCTATGCTGCATGCAAGTACAGGTTTCTGTATGTGGAAAGTGAAGAAAGAAACTGAAAAGACATTCATTCAGCCCCCTCTGTGTAGCATTTAGATGGCACATCAACAGGGAGAACAGAGAGGCAGGATGATGTAGTCCATTTTCACGACAGGCCCAGTCAGCTATAGTCTTGATGTTTATATGTTTATTCTTACTATATATTTTTAGCATAATATAGTCCATCTTAGGGAAACTGAAGTTATATGAGTTCTTTCTGATGTAGGGATTCATGGCTATATAGACCATTTCTGTAAGCAGAGACTTAAAATTACTTTTAATGATACAGTTTTCACATAAAAAATTTGCAGAACTAGCTGGCATGAATATTTTTTTTCATCAAATTTTAGTGTCTGTTTATAAGTGAGTAGTGGATTATATGTCTGTCAACATACAAATATATTTAGGATATACATACACTTAGATAAATTACATAATTCTAAAGTTAATTTCACCCACTCCCTGGACATTCTAAAAGTGTATACATTTTATAAAATTCAAAACAAATTAGAACAGAAACTCCCAGGAGAAGGAAAAAACTTGGAAACTATAAACAGCACATGGGATAAATATGCATTGGTATTAAAACTAGAGGCCCAAGCCACTTAAGCTAGAGTACACAATAACCTGCCCCTTTAAATTACAGGAATTTCTGTGAATAGGACCAAACATAGCAAGTATACACTGTCTGTAACATGTCTAGGTTAATTGCTGAAAAGTCTATTTTTCTAAAAGAAAGAAAAAGTCACTAGTGATGAGTTAGTATTACTTCCCAATAAGTGACATTTTTTTTTTCATTTTAGCTGTTATGGAATTACAATGGGGCTAGATGTGTAATTATAGTGTCACAGATTAAGAAAAAATCTAACGGTTTTATAAGCATCCTTTGAAATTACTTGGAGAAATAAAACTCAGAGTACACATCAAATATTTCATACAAAAAAGACTGTACAAAAATCATGGACTTTATTATACATTAAAAATCTCCTAACAGCATATTTCCTGAAGGTATGTCAGGGAATACCCATTTTGACAAAATGAAAAAATAAGTTCTCCACCCCACATGTATACCACCATTACATAAAGTTGAGTTCTCCAAATCCAATTCTAAAGGGAAATGTAGCATGATTTTTAATTGTATACTGCATGATTAATAGTATCAGTGAAATAAGAATTAACCAATTCACTTACATTACAAAATCACCAAATATACAAAGCAGTTTTGCACATTAGTTATAACTTAATCCCCAGTTCTCATATTAACTGAAGTTAATTACATAAGAATATAGCCACAAGAGACTGGTTAAAAAGTATAATATAGTTCCAGTTTAAAATCTTTATGTATTAATGTTGAAAAACAAAATCTCATGGAAGAAGAGTAAGTCAAACTTGCTCAAGATAAAATGAAAGGTTTGCTTGCTACAATTAGTGTTTTTTAATATTTAAAGTACAGTTTCAATGCTAGGAGGTTGTTGTCAAAACCAATGTTAATATTTTCATTTTATTAATTCAGGTGGCAGAAGGTTTTGTAATACACAGGCTCTTAGGGTCTGTAGCATTTATAGTAAGATTTAAATCTAAAATACTTGTAGTTCCTATATATAACTCAAAATTAACTCAGATGCCTTTACCACACAAGATTATATGTTACATAGAATGATATGCACACCCTACTATCCTTTTCTTAAGCATAAAGGTAACACAAATTTACCACTCCTAGATTATGGAGCCTGAGAATTCTTTTAAAATTAAACACAAAGTAATCATTGTAGACATGGCAAAAACTAGACTGGCTTTGATGATTCTGTTCAAGGTATCAGTTTCAGTCCCTTGTTAGCAAGTTTCCAAAATTTTAAAAGGGAGAAGGAATAATAGGTTTCCTACTTATTTACTTCATTACCATAGTTATAAAAGTATTATTCATATACATAGCAGAGTGCATAGCAGAATTAGGTAGACTCACTTTCTTTTTTAAGGAATCAGTTTTGTTAATTTCTAAAAACCATTAAGTGTAAGTTTGAATCTGAGAAAGATAACCCAAAATCTAACAATTACCATCAAAGCATCCCACAGCTAGAAAGGATTTCAAAGGGGAAAGAGACAAAGATCAGCTTCAATATTATGCAGAAACCCAAGGGCAGCCTTCTTAAACAAAAAGGAAAGTTTATTCATGTTGAAGCTTAAGGATCTGCAGTAATGGAATAGTTCATATAGTGCTACAGTTATGGAACAGAAGTCGAATCATCTAAAATTGTTAAACCCACACATGACTTCTATTTGGGGCTGGAATGCGCTTTGGTCTGACCAATGGACGTGAGTGTTATTGTGGAAATTCCTATCAAAACATGACTTAAAAGGAACTACAAGTCTGTCTAGCATCCATAAGTCTGTCAGTACCCTTAACTTGAGCCTACTTTGACCCAGCGTGCTAACAAAGGGCAGCACTTTGCTACCATGCAAAGCACCAGCCGAGTAAAACTGCCTCCTAATGCTGACCACCCTTGTAAGGTGACAAGTTTCATCTGAACTGAGGTGACAACTTAATAGTATAAACAGAAGACTTAATGAAACAGAAAGCTTAACTAATTCTCAAAAAGGTCTTAAAAGCAGGACTTGCCATGACTAATCAAGTGCTGATCACAGAAGAAATTTCAACTTCTACAAAAGGAATGATACACAAACTATTGTGAAAGCATTCCTTTTAGTAAGCACAAAATAAACTTTTTTCAAAAAGTATTCCATAAATTTCTACCTTTTTAACTAAATGTTTTGGTAACATAGGGCTTCAAAATAATGATTATCAAGTAATCATTATTCCCATTTGGCACGTGGATAAAAATATCATGATCCTATATATAATTATCTATCCCATTCCTACAGAAAACAGTGTATATACAGTGTGAAACAGCCAAACTGTACTGAGAAAAGAACAGATGCCATTTCTAATTCAGAACTAAGAAGAAACTATATATCAAAGAACTAAGGCTTTTTTCCCTTGTAAAACTAGTCTTAGTGGCTAATCTCCTGAAAATTTTAAATGTATGACTATGTAAAATAGTTTATTCAATATATTTAACTTGTCTATATATACTTTTACATGTGAAACATAAGAACAATTTCTATCAGCAATGTTAAAAAACAGAGTAAAGAAAAATAATCAAGTTTTGACATAGAAGTAGGCAGTAGAGAAATGTCATTTTAACCTTGGCACCAGGCTAAAATCCTTCCTTGGTCAACTCTCCTATACCAAGCATTCAATTTCTTTTCAATCTTTCATGGAATTAGACCTTTTACTCATTTGAAGAGTACAAGTATTTACAATAATTAGTGCAAATTATTCTATTCTCATATATTAGTTATTTGCCCTCGTGGATATAAAGTGGTGATTAGTATTTTATCAAAACATGGGATTATGAAAATACCGTGGATATCAGTCTGAAATTTAAAAGATTACATTTTCTAAACTAAACTCTGGGAATTTTTACTTTAAGCAGGAAACATACTTGTTATAGAACTTCTTTTGAAATATCACTTGTTTTTCAATAAAAAGTATTTCACGCAATGCAGAAAATACAGTGTATTATTTTTTAACAATATCTTTACATGTTAAGTCCTAATCTAAAACGTATTTGAACAAAAAAAATCCATTTTGATAAATTCCAAAATCTTATTTTAACCATAACTGCTCTGCAGCAATAATTCAAGTCCCAACCTGAGAACTAAGAATGTGATAATAAAATGCCAAGGGCTATATCAATCTTGAACTGAAGACACATAAGCTTTTTTCCCACTGGCATCAGGAGTAGTACATCAGAGAAATGGGAGCAATCCAAGAACGTGCCCTGAAATCAACAGTACCACCTGCCACAATTTGAAACCTTAAGTCTAAAATCTCTGTCCTAATTATTTTATAAAATCCTATTGCACGTTTAATATTGTTAAAATATTTGCAAACTTATAGAATTCTCTGTATAAAGGGTTTTAAACCTATCCAGTCATAAGCTTCCTCTCTGCCAGCAAAATGTTTCTAATGAAAGAGGGAGCACATCCATGAATATCTAAAGCTGAAAAATAAACGATTTCTTACCGTCATAGCCAATTACAATGCAAGATAATAAGTTCACAATTTCAAGGAAAAAAGGCTTAAGCAAGTGTAATTCGTCAGCAATCTACTTCAGGGAGATGAACAGGTTTATTTTAGACATGTGGAATTTGATGTTACTGCATAGTATATTATTTTTAAGGGAAAAAAATGAATGCAAACCTAAGTCATCAAGGTCAATCTTATTTTAAAAAATGAAGTTAAAACAAACAAGCAATATAAACTTTAGTCTCCTCCTTGGTATTTCAACATAGTTGTTACCTTGTGCCATTTCATCACAGAAATTATCAATAAATTCCAAGGGGGGAGTATCAACCAAAAACAAGGATAAGTTTATGCTTCTGACTCTCTCTTCTTTCCTTCTTCTCCCAAATCACTCTCTTCTGACTGGCTACTGGTAAGGACAACAAACTGCCCCTCACTACCGGCTTGGTTTGGTCTACTGGAAGCAGCTATCAACCGACTTTGTTCCTCTAAGTCCTAGTGGAAAAGACAAAAAAGAAACTAAGTTAATTGTTTGCAAACAGATGGAAAACTATGCTGTTAAAATACACACTTGAGAGCCACTTCAATCCTTCTGTCATAAATATGTATGTATAATTTTGGCTGCTTATCAAAAAGAAAGGCTACACACAACCAATGCAACAACCAAGTGAATTTTGGCGTCACTCCAGAAATCCTATAAAAGCCAACAATTCCCTCTTCTCCATTTTTAGGGCCAATAACCACATTCAGGCCATCATTATCTCACTTTTTGCCAGGAAAAGGCTCATAATGGATGACTCCACATTCCCTTTCTTCCCCATCTCCAGCCCTCCTCTCCATTTGTGTCCAATTTATCTTGATAAATTAGTTGTCACCTTTCCTCAGCCTAATCTATCAAGGAAGCCTTGACGTCAGTGTCATCTTTGCCACTTCCTTCTCCTTTGTCCATACATCCAATTCATTGCCAATTCTTGCTAATCTGTTCTCCTTAAGTATCCCACAGTTATCTCCTCTTTTCCACTGCTACTGCCACAACCCATAACTGGCTCTTTCAGTCTCATGGATCACCTATCTTACAACCTCATGGATCACCTATCTAATGCATTCTCCAGATTTTGCTCTGAAGTTTATCCAGCTTAAAATTATCCTGTTGGACGGACAATGATGTATTTCACACCCCTGGTAACATTAAATATTTATAAATATATATATATATATTCCTAGAGGCCAATGTGGCCTTCAGCAATGGCAGTTAAGTCTATATATATATAGATATATAAGTCTATGTCTATATATATATATAAGTCTACATATAAATAAATCTATAATATATATAGCATATATATATATACAGTGTCTCAAAAAACCTGCTTTGACAGACAACTTCCATTGGAATATGGATATATGAAAGTTCTGGTATGTTTGCCAAACAGCAAGTCACACCACATGTCAGTATAACTACAATGTGAACATCGTATCAGAAGATGGATGCCATCCTTTTCTGCTAAACTATGAATCATCTGGTTATGAAGTGGCTGACCAAGCAGAAACAGACCTTCATTTGGAAATTAAAATCTGAAAGTCACAGCGCTTAATTAAAGAAACTCTTCACAAACATCATATCAGAGAAGATCCAGACATTAGGACTGCATACCTTTTCAATTTGTTTTTGTTTACTGAGTTCTTTCTGTTGCTTCTCTTTTACTCTCTCTATTTCTTTTTGTTTTTCTGATGCCCTACGATCCTGAAGAACAGATGAATACAACTAATTAAATATGAAATACTTTAAATTTTAGACTTTTCAATTAATATTACCTTTGTAACCTTTCAATTTTTTGCTTTTATTGAGAAAGCACACCAAAAATTTACATTTTTTGTTAGCCATTTATGCAAATCCTAAATGCTGTATCAGCAACAGCATTCACTATTAACCTTGCTTAGCAAAATCATTTTATTTACTTGCCAATACGAAAGAACTTAAACTATTTTAGTGAAAATTCTTGGATAATTAAGTGTCTTGGATTCTTACCAGTTCGGCATGCAAAGCTATCTGTTTTGCCAGTCCAACAGAATCACAAATCTAAAAGGAGAAAAAGTAGGAAAAAACTCATGCAGTTCTCACATTAAAGTAATAATTTCAAGTATCCAAATGGCTGATATAACTAGCTTTATAACTCATTATAATACACTACTTCAAACAAAAGCTGATTTAAGAATGTTCCAGCCCCAAAATCAAACTTTTGTGTATTTTCTTCAGAGGCTGTGAGCTTCTACGGCTAGCTCTCACCTCTTTCAAGTAACCCACTTCCTGTTATCTCAAATTCATTACTGAGACAGTAAGGTCTGCAAAGAACGAAGCAAGCAGCTGCTGATGCTACTCTAAGCTGAAGACATCTGAAAATGGCTGATTATGGGAATACATTGCATTTGCAGGATAAGTTAATGAGGCCAGAAGACTGCACCAGCTATCAATGGCCAGGAACATACAGGTCTGTAGAGTTAGAAGGCCCAACTCATTAGCTCAGCTCTCTTCAGAACAACAGGCTTTGGTCAAGCAACTCAGCTGGACTAGGCAAAGTCTGGGATTTTTTTCCAGAAATCTTAGTAAGAACTTTGACTATGACATATATTTCACAACAGAAACACATTTTGAATAGCCACGTACCTTTTCTCCCTCATTATTTGATTCAAATATATAACAGACTGATGACAGATTACTTTCACTTCTCCCTCCTGATGTCCGAAGAACAAATCCAAAAAGCCTCTTATTTTCCTGGTGTGTAGCATACAAAACTACACTGGGTAATGGAAACTACCACAGAAAACATCAGAAGCAAACATGAGATTTTTCAAACCATTACCACAGCACTCTTATATATGACAAACTCATATGCTAAGTTATAAAAATATCATAAATAGAACACTAGAGCCAATTTTTTTTCTTAACAGAATGGTAATCCAAGAACAAATAACATCATATTTAGTTTGGATTGCCAGGCAGAGTAAGAGGTTGCTGAATATTGAATTTGTTTTATTAGTCATTAACACGTTTTACAAAGTCAAATTCAATAACAAAAACTATCTATATTATTAAATAATTAAATAAGAGCAGATACTTACAGCTATTTCAAAACAGATAATTATAAAATAAACTCAATCATATTTGCCTTATAATTCCTACTGTTAGTTTCTTTAGGGTATAATACATGCTCCCTAGCTAAAGGATAAACACTAAGTATCACACCAGAGTGCACTGATTCTTTAAGTTATATGGAATGTTCAATTATAACTTTTTTGGAGTGATGACCATAGACTTAATTATTTAACAGATTAAGACCAATCATAACTGATACTACTATATCTGAATATAAAGAATCAGGGTTATTACAAAAATGTAAGATGTGAATATGCACAAAGAGACTTAAAATAAAGCTTTAAACATGTAGAACTCACCGTGAGCCTTGTAACTTGTGTCTGTGGATCAATTAACCTATAATAATAATTAAAAATTTGGGAAACAAATTTTAACTAGGCTGAAATGTAAACATTTTTCTATAGTTGTTTGAAGGAGAGGTTACTACTTACTTTAAACAATCACAAGTGACTAATAAATGTGATTCTGTCATACGAAAGATGTTATGGATGGCCCGGGCAGCCAAGATTTGGCGCATTGTTTCATAAACAACATCTGGATTGTCGTCTGATTTCACCTCCATAGAACCAAGGAATCGGACAATAAATAACTGATGAAGAATAGAATCTACGACAGAACAAGGTACATTACGTATTTTTAAATCCTACATTTCTTTTCATAAAGAATAAAATACACTGCCTCCTTTTAGATTTTCCAGTGAAAAATAAACCTAGCATAAGTATTTAGCAATAACTCCTAACTATAGTATTCAAGTTATAGGGAAATTAAGGTCTCAAATTCAAACAGCAAAAGGTTACACTTCAACAACTGGTGGTTCTGAGCAAAAAGAATCCTTGTACTAATCTTATAGCTTTTCTGTAAGTTTGAAATTATACCAAAATGAAAAGCTACTGGAAAAAAAAAAGTTATGTTCCAGCATTAGAAGAAAACAGCTGTTGGGAAAAGCTTCAAGGATATCGTATACATTGAAACTTTGACTATGAGGTCAAAAGTATATTCTGTAATTTTGTGTGAAAAACAAAATCTTAAGTCCAATTAAGTTCTGTTGCTTTAAGTGTACTATGAGTAAAAAGAGAAAATTGTGAAGTAAAGATACCATTAAAACAGCATAAGCAGAACAAATGTAAACAACAAATTCTTCACAGTTTACGGCTGAGAATTTCTAAAACAGAAGAAGATTGCACGTCTGTTTTACCTTCAGTTTCAGATTTTGTACCTCCTCCAGATTCTCCAAATGGATTTGTACGCCTGAAAAGTTTTTAAAAAATTATGAACCAATGGTCAGTTACCATGAACCACATGAAAGGAATCTCAATCATCGAAACCAGAGTTAAAAACTAAGAGTCACAAAACCTTGTACATACATTAAAAGAAAAAAACCTCTAAAATATTCCATCCTGTTAAGGAATACTACTGACGACCAACATAGTATGATGAAGGCCCCTGTCCTCACACTGAGTTAATAGGCTGACTTCAAAGTTGCTACATTTTAGAAGATGCAGATAGATTGGAAGTTTAGCCACACACACAAAATCAACATGATAATAAATCATGCTGCAAAAGTTCTTGAATTGAAATAAACTAGGACAGAGGAACCGCTGATTTAGGTTCAATTTTAGCTACTTGAGAAAAATGCTAGGGATTTCCTGGGATTGTAAAAATCTCTTTTGAGGTTCTCTAAGTGAATATCACAAGTTAACTAGAATAATTTGAACATTTTCTAGTTTTAAACCTGTATTTCTTAAGGCATATGTAACAGAATGCAAGAAGAAAAGCTAACTAGAAACGGAAACTACCTCCCTCCTTAGTGTGCCTGGCTCTTGGCACACCCACAATGAAGGAAGACAAGTACAATTTAAAGTAGGTTTTGTAGGCAAACAGAGCTACATGGCTCTAAAATAACATTGGCATTAAGATAACATGGGATTGATCTCCCTAATACATGTCTGACCTGTTGTATAAAATGCTAAATATATTTCTGTGATCAAATGTAAATTACTTTTTCTGGGTCACAGCCATGTATATCAAAATTAATATATTATCAATTTATTAGGTGTCTAACCTAACTTGATAAATAATTTGCCTTAAGTCACATTTCCTTCATCCATAGCCAAAGAAAAATTTTAACTTTGATAAGGATTTTTCTCATTATATAAACAAAAGATGATTTATTAATAATTCATAGTATGATAATATTTTAGTACCTTCCTAAAGATTTCTTATTCTGATACAAGATAATATTTTCTAATGGACCTATATCACATGTATTACTCTCAAGAATTTTAAAAATATTGTCATGACCCAAAGATAGGACTGTCAACTTTCTTCTGCAATTTTAAAAGCAAATACCTA